ATATATACGCACGGTCCAGTAGCACGAATACCCAGGATAAGATTACTAATATCTTATACTACCTATGCTACTTATGCATTTCAGCAAAGGTGGGACATCAGAAGGCTAGAAATTCCTAGTGTCTTCCTGAATGACAGTTCAGGATGTATAGAACTTTGAAATTGAACAAAACAAAGTTGAATTTTGAAATTGACATGAAATTCACCTTATTCGAAAGATAATCTTCTGGCATTATAATTTGAATATGACTTCCGGCATATGACCGCCACGGCTGGCTCGGAAGTAGTCTAATCTGGAGGTCCAATTTTCGATGACTTTTACAACATTTGTGGCCGTATATCGGCAATAACGCAGCGAATGCTGTCCTCCAAGTAGTCAATCGTTTAGGGCTTATGGGCGTAGACTAGCGACTTCACACATTCCCATAGAAAATAGTCTAGAGACGTTAAATCGCACGATCTTAGAGGCCAATGCACGGGTTCGAAATGTGAAACTAAGCGGTTACTAAACATTTCCTTCAATAAATCAATTGTAACATGAGCTGTGTGACATGTTGCGCCGTCTTATTGAAACCACAACTACTGCACATCATGGATGTGCTATCAAATGTAACGTTCTGAAACGCTTATGAAAATTGGGTCATCGGCAATCTTGTTGTTGGCCTTATCTTTTTTTGGGCCTTGCTAGGTGCTCGTGTGGCTTCAATTCTTACACGAGTTGGATGTAAGCAAGCAGAAGATCTTGCAGAAGATCTTTCCGCAAAATTTTCCATGAACTTGATGGACGCGTATCCAATTCCTGTGCACGATGGCAGATAGACCGATTCGGCTCTTCCTCTAGCAACTCTCTACAGTAGCAATTACTTCTTCTGTAAGCGCTAAGTAAGTAAGTAACTTTATTCAGTTCAGTTATAAGACAAAATACATAGTCGTCTATGACAAAAGGATGGAAAATAAAATAAAAATAAAATAAATGATTAAAGATACATAAAATGTAAAGATTACACAATTCTAATGAAAGTTACGGTTACCTAAGCAAACTTGTATCGTAGCCAGCATACTAAATAGTATATCATTTCCTGTATAACCGAACAGAGTGAAGAAAGGAAGAGATAGTGAAAAGAAGATAGTGGACGAGGAAGAGAGAGAAAGATCAGTCTGTGATGCGCTCTGAAAGACACCTCTAATAATAGAAATTTCTTATTCAAGTATCAGAAGAAGCATATCATAATTATTGTCAACAAATTTTTTCAACTCTATTTTGAATTCGAGTTTCTTTCTCATGTCTTTCAATGATTCAGGTAGAGTGTTGTAAAGTTTGGGTCCCAGATAGGTTATAAATTTTGATTACCTATGTGTGAGTCTGCATCGTGGAACATTCATGGTCTTAACTGAACTGTTACGAGTATTGAAAGCATGCTGTACAAATTTGATTGAAGAATTAGCAGTCCATAATAATCTCTGAAAAATGTAAATTTTTCTTACACCGAATAACCCTGTTTCATCATACAACGACTCGGTACAATACCTCCGATCTTTTTTCATCATTATTTGTAATAATTTTACAACTTCATGCAATAATAGTGTAGATGAGTCCCAAAGAATATATCATTATTCTTATTAATGAATTTTTAATCACTTTCAAGTTAATTAGTGATGTCCTGAAGGTACCACCCCATAATATTATACAGTAACGTATTATGGAGTTAGCATCATACACCATCAGTATAATTTCCCTGTTTAATATATTCCTGAGCTGTAGTCTAGTTACTGTGTAATCAATGTGTGCATTCCACCGAAGAGATTGGTCCACTAATATTTTATTTTGAATGATGCAACTAATTTTCCTTTACTTTCAGTATTTTAATATTGAATGTGAGTCACAAAAAGGATTTGAAGCTTTATAACTTCTATTTAATTATCTGCGAGCGCTTTCGACAGTTGGTCGTACTGTCATCAAACTATTATTGTTGCTTAATATAATTGTTATTTTCAACTATTCTTTTTAATTATTCTTTTCTACTTGTTTCAGGGATTTCAAATCAGATTTTTATGATGTTTGTAGCTGGTTGATCTCTAGTTATTGGAGCAAATGCAATAAATTTGTTTTTGTCAACATTGACACTCAATAAATTAAAACTCAAACAGTTGAAAATCCTTTTGATGCCTATTTCAGACTGAGTGTATACTTCTTAACACGTTTTTCCAACAAAAGTGATAAGTGTGCCATCAGCAAATTAAGTTATTTCACCATTGAAATCAGAAATTTTGAAGAAGATGTTCATACATATTAGAAATAAGATGGGTCCTAATACAGTTCCTTGGGGTACGCCCCGGGTAATTTTAGTGGGTCGCTGAGAAAGTCGTTTACCTTGACAATTTGTGTTCTGTTTGTCAAATTGTCATCAAATATTTTCAGCAACACCCCTCACATCAATGTTAGCTAAATGTTGAAGGAGTATATTATGATTCAAGTATCAAATGCCTTGGCCAAATCCAAAAAAACAGTTATGCATTTTTGTTGATTTTTAAAATAGTTGTTGATTTGGCTAACAATCTCAATAAATGCGTTTTCTGTTGATCTGTTTTCTGGAAAACCATATTGTGATTCAGAAAAAATGTTATTATCGCAAAATAGTATAACTTTATTTTTGAGACAGTTTTCGAATATTTTAGAGAAGTAATTAATCATAGTTATGGGTCGAAAGTTTGTTACAAATTTTTTATCACCAGTCTTAAGAATCGGTAGTGTGATTGAGTCTTTGAAAGATTTAGGGATTTTTCCTACAGTAAATATTAAATTAAGAATGTGACACATATGGGTTCTAAAAAGTACTTGCAGAACTTTTTGATAAGAAACATAGATATCTATCGGAACCAGGAGAAGTTTAATTTTTGAATCCTGAAATGATATCGATCAACTCGGTTCTTGTGACTGGGTGTAGGAATATTGAATTGGTGATATCATTGCGGTTTTCTGAAATGGGGTACATGGGCTTATCTATTTTACTTGTCATATCTTCATCAATTCAGACAAAAAAATTATTGAAAAAATTCGCTTTTTCTTTATCTAAAGTCTATTCAAATCCAAGATAGAGTAAAACAAAACAAAACCGAAGCGTGATGTTCACGTGATCGCCCAGTGTCAGATGGAAAGGACAGCGTTCATTGGTGAATTCGCCTTCTTGGTACGAGTTCGGTACCAGCACAGGGTTGTAATCAGTCGTTTGCGTGTTTGTGTGCTGTGCGTTATAGTATATTGTTTGAAATTGTTTTCCAAGATGTCCAGTACAGACACTGCTGATGACACTGTGAGCTATCCTCTGAGTCCAGCCAGGAAACGATCCAAAAAAAGACATTTGAGTGTTGAGATGAAAGAAGTGATTTTGAATGTGTTCAAGAAAGAAATGGAAGAAATTGAAACATCGACTGTCGACGAAGTCGTATCGAAAGTTTCCGATAAAATTGGAGTGTGTTGCGCTTCGATTTACAATGTTTTACGGGAATATAAACAAAATCATACATTTTCCAAACCGAATACAAATCACAATTGTCAAACCATTATAAAATCAATAGAATGTCATTGCCAGATTTACCCGTCAAGTTTGGTTTGACTTTGAAATAAATGCAAGGTTATTATCTGCCCCAAAACAGATGCGTAGACTCAACACATAACATTTTACAGGAGAACAGACTGACATTTCTCACGCATATGCATATCTAACATGAACTAGGTACCGCATACTTAATGATGATTCAAAATGCTACACTATATTTTTTCTTGAAATATAATTACATTACAATTAGAAGCAATGACGTAACTTCAACTGAAACGTGGGTATCGCCTCACTTTGGTCTCTTTTTTTCCACACATTGGCAAAATCTGATGGTGAAGTTTGGTTTAACCTTGAAACTAAAACTAGGATTTTCTCGAGGGTCGAGTTTTCATGTATGCCGATGACACAACATTTTGACGTCCCTAGATCTAAATGGAATTGAAAATAAAAAGAAACTAGTAATCAATGAATTCGAATGTTGGTGTAGAAACAATCATTTAATAAACAATGAAAATAAAACAACATTTATCCAGTTTTCAAGTATAATCAACGTCTTCTCCAAATAAATCTAGGTTTCCAAACAACAGAATATACAAAATTCTTTGGAACACAACTTGACAATGAATTGTCTTTCAATAATTACATTGAATACTTGTGCACTTCTCTGAAAAATGTATTTTGCCTTCCTAACAATGAAATTAACTATGTACCCTGTACCGACCCGGACATGGGGATCACCTGCAGACCGGTTTCAAGGTTTTTGCCTATCATCAGTGCAAGTCCGGGTCGGTACAGGATTCTACTAGTTGGTTACAGGAAGCACTTGCAATTGTGTCCTCTGTAATGAGGAACATTGCACAAGTATTTGTTAGATGTAAACCAATACCCGTCGTGGTATTAGCCAGGGGAGTAGTTGTTTTCTAACAGGTATGTGCCATATTAAGCCTACGTCGTAGGTGTATATGGGAGTAAAAAGGGTGAAACATCGGTCGGCAACGACTATCGTTACTAAACGATCTCCCAAAAACTCTCGAGCTATATGCTCGAATTCTGAGATAATGAATAAAGTTTTATATATTTTGAGTGAAAAAAAAGTTCAAATTTACCTTGAGCAATTGAACCAAAATGAACTTCAAAGTAAAAAATATCACAAATATTAAATGAAATAAAGGAAACAACATAAAAACAATTCTTTGGTATGAAGGAACAAATATTGAAATGTTCAATGTGTATCATCTCCCCCTTCCTCTGCCGGCTTTGTCCTCCTTCTGTTTCTCCCCCCTTGACGGTCAGAAGCAGTTCTTAGCCAGAGTTTTATTACACTGGCAATTTCGGTTTCTGTGGCATTTCTGCAAAACGGATTTTTCCGAAGACAAACTGAAAAAAAACTGGGGTCAAGTGCGAGTGTAACGGGCACATAAATGGTACTTAAGATTTATATTGATTTCCCCCTTCCAGTCCAGTTATATTGAAGAGATAACTCATGGGAGACTAGTTTGGCCATTATTCTACTTGTTGAATCTCTAATGTCTTTGCCTCCAATACTTAACAAAGATGCGGACTGAAAGAAACTTTCATGAACCTCAAGTTTTTAAATAATAATATATACATGTGTATATATATATTTATTCATAAAATGTAGTAAAAGGTTATTGAATCAAAATACATACCATATTTCGAAAAAAATCCTCATCTTCCAATTTTCTATCAAATTCTTTCAATTCACACTCCTGATTTATTGGTAAATTCAAATTTTCAGGAGTTTCCACATCTTCACAAATGGCATTTCGCTGTACTATTTGTAACAAAAATTTAACGTCATGTGCTAGTAAATCAATCTTCCTAATTGCAGAATCCAGCTTTGCTGAAAAAAAAATTATATGGTTCACATGTCTAGGATCAAACTCAATTTAAAAATAAACATGCTAAACTAGTTACCTTCCGTGTTCTTGCAGTTACAGCATGAACTTTGTAAAGCTGGAAGTTTTCGGCTATTGTCTGATTTATTTCTAATAGTGTTGATGGGGTGGGCTCATATGAGTCTGATTGTACCCTAGACTCCCTAGAGGTAGATGTGAGTATATCAGAACCTCGGCTTCTGTACTGTGTTGTGACTGTTTCGTCAATTCCATTCAAGGCTACAGATTTTTCC